TTCATGCTGTATGCCAAGGCCCGCGTGGTCGTCGGCAGTAGCCTCCTGGAGACTGAGCTTCAACGCCAGCTCCAGATCATCATCCCTGTGCGCGCCGTGGCCGACAGGGCCGAGACTGCTAAGCCTGAGGGCGAGTTCGAGGTCGTCGTCTCTGGGTGTGGCTCTACTGGAGGACTCGGCATTGGGAGCGACAACTGGCATGTAGCTTGCAGACGGCGATGTGGAGGGCGACCTTTTGGTCTTCTTTGAAGGCTTCGGCTTGTACTTGATGGCAAAGTCAAAATCGCCAGAACTGTTCTTGCGGTGCGACTGCCCCACATCATCTGTGGCCTCCATCAAGGAGAGGCGAAGCGCTTGCTGGAGTTGCTGTTCGTACTCGTCCTCTTCCTCGGCAACGGGAGGGGGCGGCGTGAAGCCGGTGACGCTGGGCTCAGGGGTGACTGTGTCCATTGTGCTCTCGCTGAAGCAAGAAGCGGTGTCGAAGCCGGCCTCTGCGGCCGAGCCCGTGTCACTGGCGCTAGTACGGCGTTGCTCCTCGAGCAGAAGGGTCTCCTGCGAAATCATCTCTGCATACTGGAGAGCCTCCTCCTCGGTCAAATCGCCAAAGGCTCCGACGCCGAACCTGTTGCGCAGCCAAGCGTCTTCCCGAGCCTTTTGCTCTTCTTCGCGGCGCAGCTCTGCAGTTTCGGCAGCTATGTATCCCGACACGTTCCCTCCCTGCCGACGGGTAGCGAGTCGACCATGGACATCGGCATGTCGGAGGCGACGTTTGCGGCCTGGCGGCTGGCTGGTTGCGCTGTAGGCCCAGTAGCGGAGGAAGGCGCCGAAGGAGGTGATGCCGCGCAGCACAGTAGGATCCGGGTCGAGATAGATGGCCCGCGCAGCCGAGTAGGTATCGCTCTGAAGAGAAGGGTTCATCGTCATCATGTGACGTGGAACTCGCCCGTTCGACCGGCCGTTTAGAGTGCGGAGAGGTTCGAGGGAGGAAGCCAAGGGATCCCATGCCTGCACCAGACCATCACTTCCTCCATGAACCAGGTACAGCGCCGTCAGGGCCAGGCAACTGATCTCTGGCGACTCTGTCTGAATCACACGAAGAGGCGCCACTTCTGTCAAGTTGCGCTGGTCGCGACAGTTCCAGACGACGACAGATCCGTCTTTGGTGCCTATGGCCAGCATCCGCGTTCTCCGACCAGGGATCTCGGCCACAGAGTCTGCAGTCAGGGGACTCATGGTAGGAGAAGCAGTGGATTTGTGACCAGAGTGAAGAGGGTCCTCCGACAGTGTCAGGAGGGCGTGGGATGACAGGTCAAGGGCAGACGCGGTGATTTCCGACTGGCCATGGCTGTCAAGCGTCATTGCCGCAACAGCCCACTCGTCCGAAGAGATGAGCGTTGCCTGCGGAGTCAGCGAACCCGATGAAATGGGTGTTGCATCGCCAACCGCCGGAGCAGGAGCGGTCGTGGACCTAGCTTCAGGCTGGTAGTCTTTACCGGCCCCGAATATCGACTTCGGCGCTTCGGGAGTGTCTTGTGTGAGATCAGTCGGGCCATCCAAGTCCTCTGGCGTCGGTCGAGGCGTTCGAGACAGAGTCCTGATGTAGCGGGTAACGCTTGGTGGGGTTGCCTCGTCGAGACCGCACTGGATGGAAACAATGACCTCTCCGGCACCGCTGGCATCATCGTTTGCGAAATCGACCTCAAGTCTTCTCCTCATGTCCCAGCCATCGCAGACCTTGCGGAAATGGGATGGCTTGTAGCGTAAGAATTTTTCAATCTCGCGTGCTTCTGCGACGAGCTGCTCCTTGCTCAGCTTCATGGCGTCGGCTGGCGATCTAGGAGAATAGGCGCCTCGGAGAGCGTGTTTGTCAAACTCATCAGGCCTGGCCCGACGTCGTGTTTCATCGACAAGCCGCCAGTAAACCGAGCGGGCTGCGTACCACGCGTTCTTGGTTACATCCTCGCCTTTTGACCGATCCAAGGTGGTCTTGGGCGTGTCGACGAGGTAGTATATCTCGCCTAGAGCGTTTAGGGCAACGGCCCAAATGCGCTGAGCAGTCTTTCGCTTTTGCGTGTACTGATCATCGACCTTGATTGAGATGATGGGCACGCCGGGGCTGAGAACCCACCGCGCCGTCATCTCGCCGTTCGGATGCCGAGGACCACTCCCGTCTCCATGGAGAGCATATGATGTGACAACGCCGAGCGTGGAGCCTGTCAAGATGCCAACCGTCGAGTGCGTCATGTTGGGAACAGCGGTTGATTTGGCGAGCCAAATACTCGAAATCGCTTCCGACAGCTCTGGGATCCTGGGGATGTCGGGATAGGTGTCGACCACACCAGTGTCGCTGCCAAGGTATCGACCATGCAACTCATTGATCGGGCGGTAGTACGCGCGGCCACCCGGGAAACCTTCGCCAGACAGCACGCCGTAGGGATGACTGACGTCCATGAGGTTCGGGCAAGCGGCAGGGCCGTCTCCCAGACCGTACGGCTCAAGGTTGGGGAACGCCTCGTCGAGCTGTAGGATGGAAAAGGGGTCTCTGAACCCCCATTTCTCCACCTTGCCGATGAAGGGATCGCTGAGAGTTGCGACACCCAGGTCCGAGGCGCCGTGAATAACTCTGGGAGCCTTCTTCGCGGAGAAGTCGGCATGGAGGTGGGTCACGGCCCATGGCAGCTTCGAGTTGTACGTCAGGACGGCACTCGTCTTCTTGCCGCCTCGGCCGGAAGCGCCAATTCCTCCAGACTTGGTTCCTGGTTTACCTCTGATGAGGCCCCGCAGAAGACGCGTCCGGAGCAGGTATTCGCTCCTCCAAGTCGCAAGGGAGGTCAAACGCGAAAAGTAGCGCGCCTCAGACCGGACGAAGTCGGAAGGGTCGTAGTCCAGCGGCCCCGAGCGACTTTGGTCGGCCTTGGTAACCAAACTGTCATGGCCCGGAAAGAATCGCAAAAACGCCATTCGCCACGCATGTGGAGTCGTAACGAGGGAGTAAAAGCGCTTCGACACAAGAGATATCGCCGAGTGAGAGTCGGGATGCAAGTGCGACAGGATATGGGTCAAGATTTCTGCAGCACGTACATACATGTCAGTCCGTTTCCAGTCTGGAAGATCTCTGCACAAGAGGCGTACCATTGGGAAAGTCTGTAAGCTGTACGCCATCAGGTCGAGGGTCAGATCGCTTAATGACCTTGAAGCCCAGGGCGTGCCGAGGCGTGGACGGCGTCAAGGCATTTTCGTATTCAATCACTCTCTGACCAGCAATAACGGCTTGGTGACCTTCGGGACACGCTGTATCAGGGACGCTCAGCCGTCGAAGCCTCTCGTCAAGCTGGTCGGCGCTGACGGCATCGAGCAATGCATGGCGGCCGGCGGTGTCTGGGACGGAACGCGGAGACGCGCTGCCCGAGTCCTCGCGGCGAAGTTGGGCGACGCCGGTCGGCTGGTGGCGTTGAGAAGAGCCATGCTGAATGGGAGAAGAGGATGTTGAGGGGTTGTCTTGTTGATGCTGGGTTTCTGAAGACTCGGTCGGCCGATGTTGCATAAAGCTGTGATGGGGGTGGTCGTGGGCAGGTTACGGGCGACTGTGCAAAGACGATGTGCACAGTCTTTGGGTTTTTGAGAATGGCTTGGGAGGCGAGTATGCGCGAGATGCGTATAGAATATGCGATGCGATGCGGTTGTGTTGTAGGGAGTAACGTGTCTTGTAGTGCCTAGGTTAAGTCTAGCTTCTGGAGGTCGCGTTTCGTGACGAAATGGCCAGGAGATTGCGGGCGCTGCTGGTGGTGGTGGTGGTGGTGGAACATCCCCGGGCCGGGGGGCTCTTATCGCACAACCCGCGGCCCGCCCGCCTGTATCGTGCCACTCACCTTCAATGCCGTCATCAACACCGCAATAGCTCATCATCGCCCATGTTTGTGTCGACTTCAAAGTTGCATTTCCGATAATAATTATACTGCGCCGAAACCCCAATAGCTTGAGACTGTGTAAGTAAATAATCTTCGACTTATGGAACTAGCTGCCCGCGGAGACTGCATCTTCAAATTTGCTGTGGCGACTATCAAGTTTGGGGGGGGGGTCTTCGCCAATGACCGACTAACATCGCCGAACCGGTGTTGCGCATTCGTGTCTCGAAAAGAATCAAAACCTGTGCGTGTGCATATTTAGAAAGCAAAAAGCATGCAAAATGAATCGCACATCCCCCACCTGATCAACCAGTTCTCATCGAGTCGGGCAACGCAGCAAAAGATGAAGATGCGGCCAGTGTGGATTGAACACACGACCTTCAGATTAAGTGATTGAAGTTGACTTCAGTCTGACGCTCTCCCAACTGAGCTATGTCCGCCACGATCTTCAGCTTGAGATGCCAATCGAGACGGCTGAGCTGTCCTAAGATCCCAGAATGGGTGGAGAGCAATTTCTGATAGTCTTCGAGCGGACCCCCCCCACACCACGAGCTCAGCCTTTTTGCTTCGGAACAAGCCGCGCAAGCCGGATGCCTGGGCTAAGAGAAATGAAGGACCCGCGGACGAAGGGAGACATGGGTGGAAGGCAAGCAGGTTTGCGGCTCCTCGTCAGCTCCTCAGCTATAGGCAGTGGACTAGCTAATCGGTTACTGTCTTCGCACAATAGTGTATGCCCTCCCATGGTTTCCGCAAGCCTTCAAGGGCCGGTTCCGCAGGGCTGGCCGAGTTGTTTGACGTGATGGCCCAGCGGCTGACGATGCGCTGGCCGACCGGAGCCTGGCCAGACTTGCGGTGACAGGATCTGCGTCGGCGTTCTCATCTGCCGACTTGTCCGCTACTGCTACGAACCCACGCGGTAATTTACCCTTGAGAGTTCGCGTGGAAACATTTCCAACCTTGCGATGCTGTGCCACAGGTCTTCCCTGTCTACTACGTGTATTTGCGGGAACTAGCAGACGGACCGTTGGTACTCGTCATCTCAGAGCGGATAATCCATGGGACGTACAAACTGGGCGGCCGCCGACCTAGTCCGAGATGATCCAACAAGCTTCCGGGGAAAGACTCCCAGGATGTGTCTGTACCGGTCCCAGCACCACGACTCGCTATCCCAACATCCCCCCAAGCGGCCTCCCCTTCCGACCTCCCCTCCGGTTGCGCCCCTTGCCCTGGCGCTCTACAATCTCCATACCCAGCAAAGAAAAGCCTTATGGAGCTTATGGAGACCATGAGGGAAGGGCCCGTGTCTCGTCTCCCGAAGCCCAGGGTCTTGACAGACTGTCCCTGGACGTCGATATGCGGATACCAGCGACAATCTCTCCAAGCGGTCCAGCCAGTCCCGCGGCTTCCATCCGCTCCTTTCCTCCGTACACTACGTCAAAGCAGTGCCGCGGCGTTGGGATCGAGCGAACCGGTCAAAACCTGCGATCAATGATGGGCTTCCCGACTTGGATGCGCCGCGCTGAGCGCGCCGGGACGCTCCGCCGCGGCCGGGGCCGGTGCAGGGCTGGTTCGGTCTCGGTCTTCGCTGTCCAGCCGGATCCGAGCTTCGCGGATTGATCACCTGTCACAAAGCCCGTGCCCGTGTGCGCACTGACTGAAGCATAAAATCAGTATAATCGAGAGCTCCCAGAACCCGGGTCCGGCTCCCAGGCCAAGTCAGACATCCAAACCCATACAGACGAGGGGGCCTGTAAGACGAGGGTGGAGGGATTTCACCCTTTTTTATCCACCACCGAGTCCACTCATGCATGGGCCGTATACATGTGATCTGCGTGTAGAAGAATGACGCCGAATCACCTTGCGAAGGAGCAATTTCCAACTCGGACTGACGTATGCCATCCGTCTCCCTGGGCCGCGCTTTGACAGTGCCAAAAAGGCAATCGATTCGTTGGGCGTCTCCATCCATTCGCGGATGCACAGGGAGCACTTGCAATGCGGCAAGAGCAATAGCAACAGCAATGGCGCCAGAGACCAGCCGAATGTTTTTCTCTCGGCTTGCCTGTCTCGTCGTTCCTTCGGCCAAGCAGGCTCTCTCGAACATGTGCCGTCTTGACGGGCACAGCCTTTTGAGAACCGTGGGAGCATACCAAGCATCTCGACGTACAGAAACACAATAAGTCTAGGAGGGTCTACCACCCCAGACCTCTTTCTTCGTCTCAAAAGAGGGAAATGGAGAAACATTGAGCACATAACCGTTCTCCTCCACCCCGACCTGTGGTCCGTAAATTTGGATGGCCGCCTTGCCTGTGGAATGTCTTACCTTATGCCTGCCACGGCCGCCGCCAAATGCCGTGCGTCGACCGCGGTCCGCTATCTATTGCGCGTGGACGCAAATTTCAGACCAGGCCCTGACTCTCCGCTCGAGAAAGATTTCCTAATCAAAGGTTCCCATATTCAGGGGGGGGGGGGGGGGGGGGGGGGGAGGAAAGAGGAACGAGGGAGGAGAAGGGAGGGGGTCCTCGCAGTAATCTTCAGCGGGCGCGGCGTGCATTCATCACATCTCGCGGTCTCGTCGATCAGCAGCCGCAATGCCCATCAGCATCGAAATACACAGATCGCAGGATAGCCACGACCGACCCTTCATGCCAATGTGCCCGACGGTCTCCTCGAGCAACCAGCCCCCTGGTCGGTTCCTCTCCTGCGCGAACTCTCCTCAAGCAAACATGCGCCCCTCGACGCGGGTAAATGATGCCCAACGTGCAGCTCCCCGAAGCCCGACAAAAAGGAAAAAGAACAAAAAATTCCCGGAGGCGCCCTCCGCCCCCCCCCCCCCCCCCCCCCCTCGTTCACCACTGCAGAAAGAAGAACGAGGATTGTCGGGTCTCAGCATGGCCGTTGATATTGACGGGTTGCAGCGCACGACGCGGTATCACACAGCGCCCCCCCCCAAGCAAAGAGGTAACCCTACCTACATATCGCGTGCATGCTCGAAACTGTTTCTCCTCCAACCCCCTCACACTCACACTCACACACACACACACTCACTCACTCACACACCTTCTATCCCCCGTCGTAATATGGCACACCGCATCCGGTACACGAAGATGGCTTCTATTTCTACACTAGGTACATCCCCTGGCCGGGTCCTGATGGCAAACCGCCGGAGCCCGCCACCGCGCCGCATCGCCCTCGCCACCATTGGCATCTCATTCGCCGACGGCCCTGCCCGTCCATGAGGGAGAGAAAGACGAGTCCACTCTTTCTCCCCGCAGAACAACTGTGGGGCCTCCTGATAGCGCACCGCGGCTCTCCGGTACATCCTCCGGCCTTGGATGGACGACGTGGACGGGATGGTGCACCACACCACATCACACCACACCACCTAGCCTGTTCTCCACGAACTCCTGTCCTGTTCAGGTCTTGCAGGGCTCATAGGCTACTGGACCTGCCTCGTTGGGCACATGCAGCAATGCCCGCCATCGCCCGTGGAACCGCAGCGCACTTGGCAGCTGCGAGTGTGCGGTTCCCAGCGAGACTTTGAAACGAGGCCTCCTCACGAAAGCTATGAATCATCAGAGTAAACCCCTGCATGGGCGTTCGCCTCTTCAACGTCCCGCCCACCCGCCACATCTAAACTCATAACCAGCGCAGATTTGCATATGCGACATGAAGGGGAAGATATCAATAGAAACCCGCCCCCCTTCCACGTGCATACATCGTCAGCTACACATCTACTCTCGATGGGCTGTCCCGCCAGAGTTGCTTAGTAGAGGGGAAGCCCCGGCGGCCTCTCGGGACAATCAGGAACATCTTGCAAATCTCCAGAGCCTTGAGTCCGTCTGCGGCTTTTGGTCTTCTGCAAAGGCCTGGCTCCGATGGCTAGATAGAGATACCGGTTCACTCAACTCTGCCTCGGTACAGACGGCAACCCTCCCCCAGAGATATCGGAAACGCAGAGGGTCAGGATCGGGGGGGGGGGGCTTGGTTTGTGTCGTCGAAAGAGTCCTTGGACCCCGCGGGTACGAGGCTGCCGCAGTCTTATAAGTACATATGCCCTGACAGTTGTAAACTGCAATGACGAGACTTGATGGGAAAGGGGGCATCTGCTTGGTGACAAGCTCGGCGCGATACCGTGTTTGTGCCCATGTGAGCTTGATATGAGTGGCGAGTGGGTTTGCCATTCGAAGGCTGAAGACCATCGATTGAGTCCTGCGACGTGCGGTTGTGTGCGTGAAGCCATGTTGCAGGCCTTGTCAGTTCCGTAGCTCTGGTGATAACAGAGACAACCCTAGCCCGTATCCTTCAGTTCGTAAGTCTCAGACGGCGACTTCAGCATGCTGGACCAATTCCGAAGCATGCCCAATAGGCCCAGCCTGAGGGCAACCTCTGAGTACGACTGCTGCGTCCTCAGGAGGTGGGCGGTCGCTGATTCGGCACATGACGGCGTGCATGATCCGTGGACAGAGAGAAGTCTATCATCCGACTACGAAGTGATTGCAGCCGAACAAACCGTTACCACAGGATACCAAACTATGAGAGTAAAGGTGAAAGGAATAGAGAGAGTACTCTGCTCCTACGGCAAATGATCCTTTGACCAGGGACGTTCTGGTCCTCCCTCCCTCGGCGCTTCGCCGCCGAACGGCGTTAACTAACAATTCAGGTAAGTTATGCGAACCAGGCCGTTGCAAAGGCAAGGGCAAGGGGGGACGGGCGAGGTTGAAACTTAGAGGACAATCCGGAGGGTTGAATAACCGCCTAACATGGTCTCCACGTAAATAGCGCACATTCCGTCTGGTCTGCGCAGCGTGGAACCGAGTCGAAAGAGAATGAGTTGATGGCGAAACGTTCACGTTGGTGGCGAAAAAATTGTTGGGACGTCCAAACGTACATCGTACGTCTCCCCCCCGCACTAGAGGGGCAGCGGCATGGGGGGAGGAGAGAAGAGATGACGCTTCGTCTCGGGCCGTCCTACAGGGACCAGGGCTCCTCCGAGCATACCAAAAGAGAGGACGACAATCGGACGAAAAAAACGTGCGACGACGGCGTTAACACAGCGCAGGATTTTCTCGCCCGAGGAGCCGCTTGCGTTGGACCAAGTCTGCGCCGTTGGATTTGGATGTGGTGATTGAGGCGCCATCGGCTGCCGGCTTGTCCTGCTTGCAAGGGCGGCGGCGGGCATTGCGAGGAACCACTAACCAAGTCGCGCAACTAACCTAGGGCTGTTAGTCTGTGATAAAGTCTCAATAGGACATAAGCAAATCCATGTGTGGCCCTATGATTTGGAATCTGCCAAATTAGTAAATTCGACGCGCCTGAGGTCCATCGAAAGCCTCAAGGACGTCATCAATGTAACAGCAGGACCGTATCTATGGAGTGGAGAGGCGACATCGACCCGGTGATGGCCGCTGCACTCCGGGGAGACTTATCAATTCCAAGGCAGGTATTACCATTATTCCAAGTCTCCGGAAGCTCTAGGAGGTTTGGCTACAAGATCCCATGGTTATGGCGTTTCTATTCATTTAGAAACCTTTAACTGTATAGAGTATCGGGTATGAAACTTTTACCGTGTTGATGGTGTTGATGACTGTGTGTGGCCAATCTTGTGTGCGACCATACAGGGGACCGCCTTGTACTCGTACCTTCGTTACCCGTTCCAAGTATCGTTGGAGACTTGCGCTGTCCCCTTGGAGAGTGGTGTAGGTGTAGAGTGGCATGTTTCTGGCGGGTGGCCGAGAATAAACGAGCGGGCGCCAGACAATGCCTGATTTACAAGATCCATTCATGCCGGGCTTTTTCTGGGCGAGCGCTAATCTAAGACTGGCAGCCAGGGGCTGGGGAGCGAATTCGAGAGGTTAATCGGCGCAACCGTGGTCTGCGGCCCTGAAACACGGGAGGTGACGACCTCTTTCGCGGCGCCGAAGTTGCAAGGCAAGCAAGGCTCTCGTCGTTGTCAATACCTTCCTGTTGCTGTGTCACACTCGGAACGAAGGGGTTGGCGACCCGTACCATGAGTCGGTTAGCCCCGGTGCCATTCTCATGAATCTTCGTGTGCATGGCCGGTGGCCCTTGTTGTTGCCACATGTGTCGGGAACAGCGACCCTCGAAATGAGCCGAGCCGCGAAGAGTTCGCAGCTGACCGAAAAGTCTTTCTGTGTCGAGTCAGTCGTGACAGACACTTCGCCCTGCGAGGCAGGTCGACCAAGGCAGAGGAACCTACTGAGACCTGGAGAGGGGTAAGTGGGTATTCCCAGACCCACGTATTGATTGATGTCGAAGGGGTTTGTGCCTGTAAGACTGAAAGAGTTGGTTGCTTGAATACGGTAGTTCGATTCCCAAAACTCTCTCTCACTTCACTTTTTGCTTTTCCAGTCTCCCAAGACAATGGCTTGGCCACTGATTGGCTTTGAACAGGCGGTAAAGGAGAGAAAATACGTACCGGAGTACGGATACCATAAACCACTTGGCTGGGTTCTGTCAGGCCATTGGCTCAGCAGCAATGCAAAACTAAACCCGGCAGGGCGGCAACTGTGGCGCACGCACGACACCAAAGACAACGAACAAAAAAAACAAACGAAAAACCACGTAAATCCAAGACAGACACCACCGGCATCGGCCGATTCTTGGAACTCGTCTTCTATCATGCCGCCGCCACCTGATGTCAACTGTTCCAGTAGACTGGTAATAGTGGAATGTGAGACACCATTTGACCGCTTCCGACGCTAAACTCGATTATCTAAGGCACTCGAGTGTCGGAACTCGGCCAACGAGGCCGAGTCAAAATGCTCTGTCGTGGTGTCGAAAGTGTCTTCCGTAATTAGAGAGAGAGGGAGAGAGATAAGGGTCCAGCGGGAACATCGTAGTACCCGTGGGTTTCCCACCCCAACTAGTACAACAGGAACGTCGATCTGGGCTAATCGTTCCGTGGCGCCACACAAAACCCGCACACTCTAGACGGCGGGTATGATCTGCCACCATCGGAGCTGTATTCGAATCACCCCGAGGTATTTGCCTGCCCATCTTCCAACTACCCGCTTGTGCAAGCGAGGTGGTCGGAGTCTACGGAATTCGACACTGGACTGCAACAGCAAGCAAAGAGGAGAGGGCGGCCGCTTTGCAGACGAGTAGAAAACTCTTCCTGGTCGATACATGCGCGTGCATCCACACGGGGTCGCAAAAGGACATGTAGCCGCTGCAAGTCATTCGCATTGTGTGTGACATGACGACACGAGACCGAGCTGTCAAGGACAGCTGTCTGGCAGCGTTGTCGAACTTCGCTCTATAGGTCCAGCATCATGCAGAGAGATCCGTTTCCAGTCAAGTCCGGAGCCGGAACTGGGGCCAGTTGCATTGACAGTGTGGCATTCGTGCGGGGCCAATGGAATTGTTCGATTGCTTGGGGCTGGCACTAACTCGAAAGACGCGCCTCGGCTGTCTGCACTGACATGCCATGTTGGGATTGCTAAAGAATTCACCAACACGACTGGTCAGCTGAGTGGTTTGGGGTGTCATCGCCGTGATCGCCGCCTTCGACCGGCGAGCGGGTCATATGCAACTGTTATGCGGTTGGTTCTGACATCTCCTGCTCGCCAAACCGATCCTACGTTGCTGTCAACCGATGAGTCGAATGCTGGCCGACGCCCCTAACGAGAACACCTGTTTGCTTCTCCCAGGACGTGTCCTAAGCACCTTGTTCTGCCACGAATGCATGTACGTATTGGGGCCCGCCTGCGACGCTGGCGATACGCTTGCTTGGATGCAAGTAGGCAGGCGGCAGCATCCTGTCCGCCAGGACCTGTCATGTCTCACCTGCCACGCTGCAGCTTGGTTTTGCCTCGCAATTGTCGCCGCTGTGAGATCCGTATGTTGGGCCCATCCGCGATGAACACAAGGATAGCTGTGGTTCCGTCTCGGAGGCATTGGACCTTTTATTTGGTCATTGACAGCTCACAAACTAATGTCGGCAGAATGAGAACGCCTCGACCGTCCACACGAGGCGATGGCTGACTTTAAACTAAGTAAACCCGGCAGGGTGGTTAAGAGAAAATAAGAAAAACCCGGGTTCGGCTCCTGTGGTTGAAGGAAAAGAGAGGAAATCGGGAGGCGAGGCGTCATGGTTCCGTCAATCGTATACGGCCGGTTCCGCCATGTCTACCAATCAAAACTCTCCCGGCTGCAGCGCAGGGTAACCGTTTCGGTAGGTTACTGACCTAGGTGCCCAACAGTGGGTGTGTCACCGGTATGCAGGCGGTAGTGTTCCGGCGTTGCGATGCGGTGTACTACTACCATGGTGCAGCTGCGGGGTGGCATGATTGATGGCTGTGCTGTGCCACGCAGCTGGCAGACAGCCTGAGTGGTCAAGTTGTGGCCCCCTCCCTCCCTGGTTGGCTGACTGGATGGTTCCTCGGTTCCTGGAAGTTGTGTGCAGTTTGGGATGGAGACGATGCGTCGTCTGTGTGGGTGCGTCCATGTCTGGGTTCGCACGCACGTCCAAACCCCAGATTGACGTCGACGGCGACATTGACGTTTGACAGAGACATGGTTCGATGACTTGACCGCTAGTGAGACCAAGGGTGAGTCGAAAAAGGGTACATGGTCCAACGTACGTATAGCAATAAGCAAAAAATGGCGTGAGAGAACAGTTGTCATTTCTGTCAGAGAAGAAGAGATAGACTCACATCCGGCCTACCTACCGGTATGCTTGTCGGCCAAGGTAGTTGTGGATCAATATGGGGGGGGCGGTCGAGGGGACAGCAGCATAGGCGAGTGAATGTACTGAAGCAGGGCAGCTAGCCAGCCACTCAGTGTACCTAGGTCAGGTAGGTAGTTTACGAGGATAGCTTGGTAGTCTGGCGTCTTGCTGGCGAGATTCCGGAGGGGGCTTGGGTTCCCCTGGAGCTGCTTTCATCTCAAACAGTCGGTTTCCCGATGAGCTGTTGACCCAGATCCCATGGAGACTCGAGAATGGCGACTCCGTGCTTCTATGCAGAAAGCGGCTGGCAATTAGGCGCCAGCGCGAATGCTTCGAGAACAAAAAAAAAAAAAAAAGCATTGTCGTGACCGCTCAGCTAGGAGAGTAGGAGAGCGATACGCCGTACGAATTAGGCAAGTAGACATGGTCGTGTGGTGTATCTTGTTGTGAATGCGGCCGTAAGGTGAAAGTGGGAAGAGACAGAGAGACATTTTACGCGTGGTTGCCGCATACTAAGAAAAGCCGCTTTAGAACACGCAGCTTCCGTCGGTTTGATTCACCAGCTCACCAGTCGAGGGCTTGTTCTTGCCATTCTCTTCCTAGGCCCTGCCTCCCTACCGTCTTGACTGTTCCTGCCTTCGTAGATAGCAGGTACGTCTCGAAGGAGACCCAGTGCCGGGAAACAGGAGGGCAAGAACAAAGGGAGTCGGGACCGGGGACGCTAGCCTACCTACCTATCCTGTCTTCTCGCGTGTTATGTAATACAAAACCTTACCTGTTTAATTGTTTGTGCCCGATAAAACACTACGTAAATGTTTTGTAATGCTAGGTATTTTGCTCTTCTCGGTGGTCGGGCTCTGATTGAAGTGTGGACTGATTCTGCGTTTTTGTTCGTCTCTCGTCTCTCGTCTCCGGGGGCGCCTGGACCTCATGGTGCCCAGCGGACCGACCGACTTGCCTCGTTTCCTTCCTCCCCCCCAAGCCTCGCCCCCAGTGGTCCCTTCCCGAATCCCAGTTCCCAGCTCCCAGCTCTTCCAAACTTAACCCCTGTAAAGCCCACTTGAGCCGTCTCCCAAGACCCACCGCGATCCCCGTTCCGGCGCCGAGAAACACCCACGCCCAAGAGACCGACGCATGAGAAATCGATAGTGCAAGCGGCAACTAGAGTCGCGGAAATAAACGGGGATATCTTGTGCGCTTTGTTCAGTCACTTACCTATACGGATACTATGCCCGAACACATGAGAAAGCGGAGACCCCACTAGCAACCGGGCGAGGTTAGCGCAGCGAAACCCAAAATCCTTTTGCCATTCCAACAAGGCTCTGGGAGTGAGAGAGGGAGAGCGAGGACGGAGTATAGAACAAGAAATCAAACAGCAACAAAATCATTCCCTGTATATTAGACGCAACGGCAGGGCGATGCAAAAGGGGGAGGACAAGGGAGCCTTTGCAGAAGCGAACAAACGCCCGTTTGCGAGAATCTGGCCCCCAATCGACTCATCTGACACGTGCTGGCAACAATAGGACCGCCAAGCAACCTGAAGGAACGAACAAGGAGGTTTACACCATCTCCGGATCCCGTCCGCTGGGACGGATCACCTTCCTTGCCTCGCCTGCCTGGTCGTCTCGTACCCTACCCACTAAGCCTCGCTGTGCCTTGGGCTTGTGCGACCGAGCCGGGCTACCAAGTCCGATCTTGTGTTGGAGATTGCGGTCGAGCGACGTCCCGGGATTCGCAGCTACCGAAAGGATCTCCAAAGGGTGGGAAACACGGCTTGGAAGCTCGTCTTTGACGTGTTTGGGCGCGAAACATGAGAGCAGCAAGGGACGGAGGATGGAGCATTTCTTGCCTAGTGCAGAACCAAACATCTTCCACCACCAAGGGGTCCCGCCCGGTTACAAATCATAACCACTGACTGCTTGGCGGTCAGCGTTGCGTCCCCTCCTATTGTGCCGGGCTGTCGTGGCGGCATCATCTTCTAAACTCCTTCGCAGGGCTTGGTGGTTGCGACCTCGGCATCCACAAGGAAATATCAGACGAGGTCGGATGTCGGCGATGCCTCGTTTCCTGCCGTGTGCTCTTCTAGTTTGGTTCGATGACATCCGTCACATCGCACCAGTGTAAAGATGAGGCATAGAGGTATGCCCCGACCTCGACGAAAGGAAATGTGAAAAACACAGCCAGTCACCGCGAAACGAACGCATGGTACGCTCCAGAATCAGGTCCCTTGGAAGAGCGAAGCATGCGTACCTGGCATTGATCACCTCTGCGCCATCCACGCGCTGCATTCCCTTCTTGCGCACATATAGCATATTTCTTTTTGGGACACCAGGTCCGATATCTCGTCCCATTGGCCTGGCGTCCAAGGGGCTAGGATGATTCCAATGAAGTGAGGATGCCTTGCTGTGATACCAGAACCCTTCCTGCGAGCATCCAATCCCAATAGCGGAGCATGTCCGAAGCTTCGGATACCAAGCAGGCAGGGCAGGGCCCCTTCGGACTCTCGTCCACATTACACCATGGTTTGACGTTTGAGACGAGGTCAGACCGGGTCAGCCTCCGAGGGAGACACATTGTGAGGCTTGGGAGATAGGAGGAAGAGGCGGTGATGAGCCCCCCTTCCCTCCCATTCAAACACTCATGCAGAGTGCAGTGCCATTTCCCTTTTGTACGGTTCGCCCGCGTCTCCTGCGTCTTACATGGGTACTAGACTCCATTCTCTGGTGGAGGAGAACCTCTGTCTTGGGAGGGGAAAGAGAATCAAGACGGTGCGCCGCCGAGCAACGCCTATTGCATCTCGGCCCACACAGATGCACTTGCTATCCATACCCGGCGCGGGAAGTAATTAGGCAAAGTCGGCAAGAATGAAGAAGGGGGAGAGGGGTGGGGAGAGGAGGGAAGAAAGGGAGGCCCCTCCGCTAATCCTTTTTCGGGACCGGCTGGCTATCTAGATACCCGTCGACGATGGCCCAGATAGCGGCACACGCAGATGCCGTGTTCTTCTCTTTCTTCGTCCGATGGTGAAGATTCAACGCACCGTCTCCCACATGCGCGATTGATGTGAGGAACGCTGGCCGCTTGAGTGACCGTGAAAGATGGGGGCTGAATGAATGAAAGTGAGAAGAGAGAGAGGGGGGGGGGAACCCAAAAACTAAAACTCTGGGCGATTGACGAGCCGGTCAGATGTTTGTTCCGAGGTTCTGGTTGCTGGTTTTTCTTCAACACAGTCCGCTCCCACCCCAGTGTCTACCTCTGAACCCTCGTTGCCTCATGGGCTCCAGCCCAGGAGTGAGACATTACACACTGTATGGACGGCAGACCAAGCTGTAGATTGGAAAATGCCAGCAGGGGGGGGGTGCCGTCGTAGGCTAAGTAAATTTGGGATTTGCGGTCAATGTTTGTAATTAATCCGGAAGAGGGCTACCTGCCTACCAACAGAGAGGCTGGCTTGGTTCGGTACTTTTGCATCAGCCATCTCAGCCATCTCTTTCTCCTTGCCCACGAACACACACCTTTGGCCGTGCTTTAAGGCCAGGTGCTACGGGAAGACATGGGCACTAGGAGGCGCGCTACTCGCGGCACTAGCTATCGTGCTTACCGCCCTTCTCCCAAATGGCCCCTTGGGTGTCTCGACAAGTATGCGACCAGGTGCCGTGCCGAGCCTCTAAGAGCATACGATTATACGAATGTTTTGCCGTCTCTGGGAGGACCTGCAAACAAGGTTGCTGGGGAGGAACTGTCCTTACAATCGTCGGCCTCACGGAGCCTCCATGCATGCATCTTGGTCATTGGGTTCCAAGCCTCTAAGTTGCTTTTGCTTCATGCTTCGTGCCGCACGCCAAGTGAACGATTGCGGTCTTAGCTAAGACGTGTATCACGGATGCCAGACTCAGGAACGGCATTCTTATCATTCCCCGGGTGGCTCTACTGCGGGTTTGTCAGCAAGAAACCCAGACAAGGAGTAACCCGGGGGGCCTCAGGCGAATTGGCTCCGGACTTAACGTACGATGTATCTGCATTCCAGAGCAGCTCTGTGCGAGTCCCCAGGCTTGGATTGACCCGGGAAGCCACTCCTTCCCTTTCCAACCGGTTGTGTCTTTCTGAACCAGGGTGTCCTTGGGTTGCATGCTGGGCGTTCGACAGGGGGTACCTGAATGCTGGTGGGCCCCACCCGACATCACGACCCCGCCGCTCCCAAAGAGTCAAAAAAGACCCGCAATCGCAGAAACCAGAAAAGCTCGGACAACCTTCCCAATTGGAAGGTACCAGGCACCCCCCGCTTCTCTAGGCCTGGCCTTCCCCACCCATGCTGTACCAGCCCTTGATCTTCCCAGCACACCCACCACTTGCCACCCCCCGGTCGCTTCCTGTAGTGTACTGACGCTTGCTGTGTCTGTCGCCATTCTGGTGTCCTTCTGTCGGGACGGTACGTATCTCGAGCACCCTAGCGCACGCTACGTAGTACCAAGAACCAAGAACCCACCTAGCACCAACAGGCTGGAGGGGAGAGAGGCCTGCCCAATGGGTGGATCTCGTCTCACTGGAGCCACTGTGCTGTGACCAGTCAGCAGTCACCCAGCGAGGTGGATTTTTAGTGTTACCACTGCGCTGGAGACCTCGTTTGGTTTGGCCGGTCTGGGCTTTTTTTTTTTTTTTTTTTGTCTGTCTGCCGCTATGGCGTGTCGTGGGTGTGTAATCTTTCGTCGTTACAACTTGCGCTTCTGCATCTGGCACCTCGCTGCAAGAAGTCGCGACCGGGGGCGACGCAGAAGGGGGGGAAGAAGAAGAGACGAGAGTCTGGGACTAAACTGGCATTGGCGCCCGCTCTGAATTGGATTGGCTGCGTCTTGAAGCTGCAACCTGAGAAAGACCCTGGGGAGACTGGACCGGAGGAACAGCCCAGAGAGAGGGAAGGGGGGGTATTGGCACTGCACTGCACTCTCCCACTGGCACCTGCCTTCCCACCCATAACTAGCCTTTCTCGACGCTAGCCTCCTCCTCCACCTTGCCTCTTAGCACCTGCACCTTGTTTTCCCACTTTTCCCACTATTCCTTCAACCACGTCCCGTCACTAACTTCCCCATCCTTCTTCTTCCTCGTCCTCCCCCCCTTCTCACACCACACCTTTCTCCTCCTCCTACAACAACCAAATTCATTTGCCTGCGGAAAGACCTGTTCTCTCCATAACTGCTTATGAGGAGCAGGACATACAATTGCCCTTGCCGAGGACACTGCCTTTGCAGGATATAACTTGGGCGGAAATTCTCCAATCGCCAATACTGACAACGATCGACACCCCGTTCGCGCCTTCAGTCACTGATCTGTCATATCACACGAACCTCGCCAACCATTCGCAACCCCTTGTCGTCCGTTTCGCAGCCAAACATCGTACTTGAGCCACCCCGCAACCCGTTCCAACTTTGATTGTTTAAACAACCGACAAGTCGACTTCTCCGTGGCCAGGCACCACTGTTTCCCGTGCACCTCGTTCCGACAAACACCAAACCCTAGCCTCACTCGCTTGGGTTGTAGTGCACCGCAGATCATCCTTTTCCCAGGGAAGCCCGCAATCGACCTAGGATACCACGGTTTTCAACCAAACCCGCCGTAAAACGACGACACCTTCAAACATGAGCTCGCCAGCGCAAGCCGGACCTTCGGTTCCGAAGGAGAAGAAGGGATTTGGAAAGATCTTGTCTCGCGCCAAGACAGTCTTCAAGAGGGGAGATGGTTCCTCCAAGCGCATGTCGACTCTGTCCACCGCCGGCCAACAGCCTCCTTCGCAGGCCATCACTCCCGGGTAAGCAAGACATCAGCCTTTGTCGTCGACCTCTGCTCCACACACAGTGCCACCGGCCTTGCTGTATTATCCATCTAACACGCACACAGTCAGTCCACTGCCCCGGCTACCGAGCAGCCTACCGCTGCTGCCGCTACTACCAAGGAAACCAAGAAGGAGTCTCCTAAGAGCAAGTACGAGGACCTCCCGGGCGTGGTCAGGGTTCCCCGGTCGGAACTCTTCGAGGAGCGCGCGAGGAAGTTGGGCGAGAGATTCGGTCTCGAAATCAAGCAGAGCGAGTGGATCTCCACCGAGGGCACCGCTCTTCGTGTTGAGAAGCCCATCCGCATGCGCGTCCACCGAACCTGCCACAAGTGCAACGCCACCTTCGGTGCCGCTAAAGAGTGCCCCGGCTGCCAACACACCCGTTGTACCAAATGCGTCCGTCATCCGCCCAAACGGACCGAGGCCGAGCGCATCGCCAGCCGGGAGAAGCGGGCCGCCATCCTCAAGGCCCAGAAGGAGAACCCTCCCATTGTCCCTGACTACTCGTACGACCTCAAGGGCCCCAAGGACATCGTCCTCAAGCGTCCCAGCAAGACTGGAGGACAGGATCTCATCTATAAGAAGCCCCGTCAGAGGGTAAGGAGAACATGCCACGAGTGCCAGACGCTCTTCACTGCCGGCAGCAAAACCTGCTCCAAGTGCAACCACAACCGCTGTACCGACTGTCCCAGAGACCCGTATGTGCCCCCCTCCACCTGGTAGTGATGCTGAATGCTGACCGTATATCAGGCCCAAGAAGGACAAGTATCCTTTTGGCTACCCTGGCGATGAGTTTGGACCGAATGCTGTGCCGCACCACGAATGCTACAAGTGCAAGACGATATACCCTGGAGGCGCCGCTGACGGGACTCCCTGCAAGAAGTGTGGGCACGAGAAGTGCGGCAACTGTCCTCGTTTGAAACCACGCAAAGTCGAGCCGGAACCCGACCCAGAGATCCTCAAAAGCATACAGGCCAAGATCGAGAGTTTGAAACTCAAGTAACTAACTCCATGGCTGACACGGAGATCCCTACACCGTTTGACATTTTGAATTCGACTGGAGGCGTACGGGCATGGCGGGGTGGATGATGTCTGAGTTGATTTATGGCGACAAGCGAGTATGCGACATTTCATATTCATCCTCGAACCCCCCCGGGGCGCACGTTTTCACCCGATTTCTTGTCGAACAAGCATCCATCATTCCTTTTTCTTTACTGCGACACTACGAAACCACACGACTACCCATCATCTGCATCACATCACACGTCTTCTATTCGCTACGGCCACCATTCCTCTGCTTCGCCAACGACCAGAGGAATGACGAAGAACATGAAGCTTTTACGCACTATGCTATCACGACCTATCATCACCTTGACCTCACCAAAAGAATCATTTCCTGTCGAATACTGCCCCCCCGCCTACTGTACTGCATAATGCCCACCTGCAATGAGAGAAAAATACACAAGAAGGGGAGAGAGGAGTCGTCCCTGGACGCACCTGAAGTGGGAGGAGGGGTATACCAGGCCAAAATCTGCGGAAGATGGGACGAGTTGGAGTTTGGCGGCCGGAGAAGAAAGAAAGCGAGGAGTTGGGCGATATTGTGTCAAAGACGGCGTTGTTTGCATTGCAGTCAAGAGTAGTGTTGGTTAGGCAGACCCAGAACCGACAGCGTGGGTCCAATCAGGGTAGCAGGTGACAGCTGTGCGGAAGGCAGATTTTCTTCCCTTTCATCTCATCATTCCCATTACCTTCTTCCCATCTCTCCGGAATATCATCTATACTACTCGCAAGTCTTGTACCCCAAGTATAGGCTTTTGAAACTCAGAACTGCTTTGGACAGCCCCCTTTCCATGGAACTGCTGCGGTGCCTCCCTGGAATGTCCGTGATGTATCATCGGCCGGAGAGCCGGGAAGTGTTTGACACTAATTCCCTCACATGGTGTTTAGCGAATGCTTCGTCGCCCAACGATGTCACGTTGTGTCGCGCAGGCTGTGGATGCTCATATCTCCCAACAATTACGAGGCAGATTGGGAGACCAAATGATGGGCAAAGAATAAAATAAGGTAGAAAAGAGGCAATGTGGCAACACGGGAGAGACGGGCCCAATGGTGCGCGCTCCAGTTGTAGCACGAACCCGGTACCGTCAAGTCGGTCCCCCTTCCCCCCGAGGCTGCGGCTGCCTTGTTCTAAGCACAGGCCATCCGGTGGACAGAGATGGGAAAAGAAGATGATCGGAACGCGTACCGTACAGTCGGGTGGGTAATGGAAGCGTTGGGCGCGTGTTCGCTGGCGAGCCCGGGAAGTCGGAATTAGAATTAGGGGGCGGGAATAGCTATGGGAGGAGGGGGGGCGAGCAGAGAGAGGGTGCCGGGGGGAGGGGCGTGGGCGAGCGCGGGTTGGCGTGGAGTACCGGTAGTACCGGTATCTGTCTCGTCCTGTGCTTGCCTATTCGTACATCACACCACCTATCTGTATCTGTCAGGCGATACTGACGGTGAGTCGTCGGCGGATGACAGGGGGGGGAGAAGAAATGATAACTGCAAAGGGAGAAGAATCCCTTAACCTGCCCCTCCCCTTCCGAGGAGACCAATCCGATCCAAGAGACCGATCTGTCGGGCGGGTGGTCGGGGGCGAAGGGCCGAAAAACGAAAAACGAAACATGGAAAGGAAGAAAAAAGAAAAAGAAAAGAGAAGAAAAAGAAAGTACAGTTCTTTGTCACTGGAGATAAAGATAAAACCCATCCCCCCTTGGCTTCCCCCCTCCCCCCCCCTTGCCCTTCGCCACGCACATGCATATGGAGATCTGGGATCAATTTGCTTTCTCAAAACGTTCCTTATTAATGCGGTTGGTGTGCCAAGACGGAGGTTGCTCGTTGGTTCACCGCGCACGAGAAACAAGACACACACGCGCACGCGCGCACACACACACACACACACACACACACACCCTCTTCCTCGAGCGTTTCTTCTACGCGACCTTCTAGAATAAGGGGAGGTGTGGCAAAGGGGCAAAAGCAAGGTGCCGAATACCTGGGAAACCCGGCTTCGGGGGAAAGGGGGTGGAGGACAATGCCGTTCCAAAGCTTGGGACGTCTCCCCGCCCTGGTGCTGACATGCGTCCGGTTGTAACGTTGGAACGTTCGGCAATTCAGGCTCCTGACAGGCCGGTTGGTTCAGGGAAAAGGGATACTTTTTTTTATATCGTTATTTACTTATCACTCTCCCTCTCTCTGTCTTATTTTCGGGTGGGAGGTCCACCTGTCTAGATGAGGGTGGCCCGGAGATGGGGAGAAGGCAAGCTGAGGACCGGTGTGGATGGGCTGGCAGGGATGATTGGGCCAACGGACAGCATGCGGCGTTCGATAGGTCCGTAGAGAGAGACAGACAGACACAGGCCGGACAGAACATGTCGGTGTTTTGTGCTTTTTTGGTTCATATGCTGCACTGCAAGCGCGTGCTACCCACCTTGGTAGTGTAGATCACCATCTCTCCAACGCGCCACTCAAGAGGCCGTTGAAGCTGTATGCAACGTGTGCCTTGCAGCCGGCGCCGTGGCGCTGCCTGGGTTTCTGTCGACGAGGCGCAGATGACTGTTACTGGGAGCTGCTCCGGAGGTTGGGATAGCGGCGTGCAACTTCACATCAAGACTTCCTCGGAAAATGTAACGTTCACTGGCGGCCTTGGAGGGTATGCCGTCAAACAAGTGCTCTCCACGCTGTTTTAATTTTACACAGGCTTTGTTGTCCGTCTACCCTACCAGGTATTGCCAGCTTACAGCCTCTCGTGCTGTGTTGCCAAGTCGTCGTATCAACTTACACACACCAGTAGGTTCATACACATGCACACACCAACTCTCTCTCTCTCTCTCTCTCTCTCTCTCTCTTTCTCTCTCTCACACACACACACTCATTTTAGGCGCTCTCCTCGCGCACGGATGGCTCAAACTGAAGGACACTGCCTGGAGGTAGCGCAGGGCCGATGGTGTCGGCGCGGGAGCGCTTCTGACCAATGTAGGCCGTCTTGAACGTGTCGATGCGCTGGTTGAGCCGCTGCTGTACGTCCCGCACGATGCCCTGCTGCGCCTCGGCCGCCGCCTTGGCTTGGCCGTCGAGCAGTGGCAGCAGCCTGTGGGTGGGGTAGAAGCGGCCCTTGAGGTCTGGCTCGCGGAGGACGGCGTTCTGCTTAAGCAGGACACAGCGCCAGCGGTCTGCAGGGGCGAATTTCTTGCGGAACACCATCTCCTCCCGGAGCGGCCGTGGGAGCTTATCCTCGGGAACGGTGATGGCCGCCTCAGTAACGGGCGCGTTATCGCCGGTAAGTGGTTGGTAGATGTCCCCCTTGAAGAAAGCCATGCCGGGGACGTCGATAGGCGCGGTGCAGATCTCACGGAGTGCTAGCAGCGCGTCGGGGAGGTTGTTGGCGTCGGCAGGGAGGTTCTGTTCGGGGGAGATGCGGACTCGGAGGACGTCGCCGAGCTCGATACGCTCGGCACCGAGGAAGATACCGTGATAGTCTATCTTCTTGCCGCCCTCGTTCTCGGCTATGCGACTAAAGACGGAGAACGACACGCCCACCTTTTGGGCGGCCATCTTGGAGGAGTCGAGCAGCGCAACCTCACGACGGTGGTTGTCCTCAGGGCTGAGGCTGCGTAGGAAGGCTTCCCAGTTGACCTCATCATAGGCCTTATTCTGCAGGTCCGGGATGCTGACGTTGGGCACGGAGAAAGCGAGGAATGGGCGCGCCGTTGCCTCCAGCGTCTGGATCGGCGACTGGTTAAAGAGATGGTGGGATATCGGGAGGATCTGGATCTCGGGCTTGACGCCAGCCTTCTGGTTGGCGGGAGCGGTGATGGATACGATGCCCAGGCGCCATCCAGACGCCAATTGGAACCAGACCAGCTCTCCCACACGGAATAGAGACGGGGCTTGTATTCCTAGATAGGGTGGAGGGTATGGCAAGGATTGTGGCTGCTGGTACACGTTTTGAGCCGTGGGGGAAGCCTGGCTGGGATGCTGCACTTGTGCCTGGGCCTGCGCTTGAACGAGAACTTGAGATGGAGCCTGTACTTGCGCTTGAACAGCAGGCGTTTGGCTTGGCTGCAGTTGTCGCTGTTGCAGTTGCGGTTGCAGTTGCGGTTGCAGTTGCGGTTGCAGTTGCGGGTGCAGCGTTTGTTGCTGCTGCTGCTGCTGCGGTTGTTGTTGATGCTGCTGCTGCTGCTGTCGTTGCAGCAGTTGTTGCTGTTGTTGTTGTTGTTGCTGCTGCTGCTGTTGTTGCTGTTGCTGCTGCTGCTGCTGCTGCTGTTGCTGCTGTTGCTGCTGTTGCTGCTGCTGCTGCTGTTGTTGCTGCTGCTGTTGTTGCAGCAGCAGCTGTTGTTGTTGTTGTTGTTGTAGCTGTTGATGCTGTTGCACAGGAGGCTGTGCCTGAACTGGAGCCTGCGCCGCGGCAGAAACTGGGGCCGCGCGTGAGGGTATCGTCGGAATCGGCACTGGAGTCTCCTTCTTCACCGCAACCGCGGGTACAACCGTAGGTACTGGCACGGGCGTCTCCTTTTTCACCATTGGGGGCGTCGCCGCTGCTGCAGGAACCGGAGATGCTATTGTTCCCAGCGGCGTCTGTGGCGTGATCTTGCGGACCTTGAACGGGGGATGCGTGTTCGCCGCTGTGAGCAGAGCTCGCGGGCCGTCTACGACGCTCAGCCCGTCAATGTTGGGCATCTCTCGAGTGTTGCAATGGATGCAGCGACAATCATTGCGGTCCCTCGAGTTCGAGAGAAGCCACAGCAGATGGAGACCAAACTCCTGCGGGCTCTTGTAGAGAGGCCTCGTCTTTTCCGGGTGGCCCGAGACCCAAAGATGCTTGGATTTCTCGTACAGCCAGTAGCCACGCGGGAAGTTGACGAGCCATGGGAGGCCCTCTGTGCGGGAAGTTAAACGACGGCGCTGGCAGCAAGTAGAGGGGCGTGACCGTACCTGTAGGTGCAAGTTCTTGCTTCAGCAAGATCCCAAGTTTCACTCGCCATTCCTGAAACCTTGGGTCATCTTCGACTAGCCGGACCATCTGAGGCTTCGCTCTTGGTGTCTTTTCTTGCGTCGTCTTCTTCGCATTCTTAGTTGTCGCATCTACGGGGGTCGGCCAGTACCCCGGTCCATAATCCTGGCCATCGCTCCGGGCGAAGCCCACTACATTGTACTCTGTAAGGTCCGACATCCTGATTGTACGTGTAGGTGTCGAAAGGACGACGACGGTGGTGAGCGTTGTGCCCGGATGAAGAGCTATTGAGAGCAAACTGGCTGGCCGCCTGGAGCAGGAATAGCAGCAGTGCCGATCGCTAAAACTGGTCTTGAGATAAAGTTCAAACCAACCCGAGTCCTACGACTTGAAGAGGAGCTCAAGATGAAACCCGTTCTGCTAGCACATTCTGCGTGCTGATGGCACACTGGCAAGCCCTCCTTCGCGCTGTGAAGTGGATCTGGCCCCGTGCTGGGTTCGGTGAACCGCGGCGAGGACAGATCTATTCGGACGGGGGCCAGAAGGTCAATTCAATCTCGGTCTCCGATATACCGCGGGAATCCGTTCGTAGACTGCTGAGGTAATGAATAAATCACAGTTAATCACTTGTCTGTCGCGGGTGATTGTCGTCAAACACGAACCAACCTGAAGTTTGGAAGAGGTTGAAGTGTTGATGGAGCTATGAGAACGGCCGTGCGTCGCGTTAGGCGGCTTAGTCAGCCATGATTACCAGCGCAAGGCACCTACCTACCTACCTGCTTGGTGGATGCTCATCCAGGCCCTCCCCCTCCGCCTTACCGTCTTACCTACCTACCTTCCTTCTGTGCTTTTACCAAAGGACATCACAACAAGCGATAGCGACATTGCACGCAAGTCGCGTGTCTAGATTGGCGTTCCGATAATCTTGACTGCGAGCATCTTATCTACCGACTTAGACCCATGGATTCCATCTTGTTGAACAGGGCCCTCCAGGATGCATTTCATCCCAGTCCAAGCTGCGCCACCCAGGCCAACCATTATCAGTATTGACGACTGGCAAGGGAGTAGCCCGTCTTTCGAGGAACCTCATCATGCGAGCAGTATCGGTCGCCGTGTAACAAACAGTAAACGGAAGTCCTGAAGCTCCTAATTTGACTCGAACAATGTGTTTTAACATCTACTGTTTGTGGCCAAAAGATATCGTAACCTCCCTGATTGGCAACTCCCGTTAGTTTCTTCCAAAACAAAGCAAAACCCCCAATCACGTCAGCATCTTGCGCTGGCTAGCGCTTCCGCCTGCCATACTTTGCTTGATTCAATTGCATCGGGGGTTTTTTCTTTTTTCTTTTTTTTTTTTGCAACAATATGTACCACTGCTTACACTTCTACGTATGATTGGATGCCCTTCACTTGCAAAACCCGTAGGCCGTGACAAGAAACTCCGGGCTTTGATGTTACTCGCCGACCGCCTGCAGCGGGACTGCCGAAAGCCATGAATATCACATCATCGTCATGCGCGAGGGCGCCTCGGCGTTCGGGCCTCTGCCGGCACCATTAACCTTCAAAGGCCGATCATGATCCATTGGCCAATGGTCCCTACAGTCTCACCGTATAAGTACCTCTCACAAATTCGCCATCTTGGAAGTTGAGTTACTCGAGTCCTCTCAATCAAGAAACCAACCAACTACCCCGGTGTCGCTCTCCAATTCCCAGGTATCACAACCTCATCGCAACAATATATCAAAACAAAGATAACCCCTATCATGTGTCAAGACGAAGCCACTCTCAACGGTTGGACAGCCGTACCCGTTGATGCTGGCAGGATCTTTGGTGACCTACCGTTCTTGAACGAGCCCTCGCCGGTGAGCATCAGGGACATTAGCTTTCCTTCCGACGACCCTGTGGTGGCACAGACGCTACGATACGCCAAGGAGCGTTTACATGCGGAGACTTTCAATCATTCCATGAGAGTTTTCTACTATGGTGAGTGAGACCTGGGCCCCCCGGACCAAAAGGCATAGTTCCAACGGAATAGCTTGCTGTGCTTTTCCAGAAGTAAAATACCTGATATATCCCAGGTATGACAATCAGCAAGCAGCAATTTCCTGACAAGGCGGCTGCCCTCTCTCCCTCAACGTGGGCACTAGCCTGTCTCCTCCATGACATTGGTACGGCCGATGAGAGCCTCACGGCCACCCGCATGTCGTTCGACATCTACGGCGGCTTCAAGGCCCTCCTGGTGCTCAAGGACCACGGTGCTACCCCAGACCAGGCCGAGGCTGTCGCCGAGGCCATCGTCCGCCACCAAGACACAGGAGTCGACGGCACCATCACGTTCTTGGGGCAGCTGATCCAGCTGGCGACGCTGTACGATAACGTTGGCCGTCATCCCTGCGTCAAAGACTTTGGCAAGATGATCCACGAGGCGACGAGGGCCGAGGTTAACGGGACGCATCCGCGTATGAAGTGGTGTTCGTTTTTTGCGAGCACTGTGAGGAAGGAGGTAGGATTGAAGCCGTGGTGCCACTCCACGCATATCGTCAACTTTGATAATGAGGTTGAGAGCAACACGCTCATGAGTGCGTGGGAGTAAGGAAGTAGACTTGTGTATCGCCCGTGCTGTGAAAGGCGCAGGGGTAATAGGGTGTTTAATACCTTGTACTCAATGATCGGCCCGGTTCCCTAATAGCGGTTGAGACGAGATTGTATCTGCCCAGGCGAAAAGTGTTCTTCACAATAGTCATTCATCTCATGTGTCTGTCTGAATGTGAACGAGTACAAAATTATTCGCGAAGTAAAGTGCGTGTATCTAGGGGAGAAAACTGTTCCTGGGATTACAAGGACGTGATATGTTCTCCTATGTTGCTAGCACGTAGGTTGCAGCATGTCGTAAAATGGAACATGCATAGGGTACCCACTGGGTCAAGGTTGACGTATCTCATAACCGTTTCTTCATACCACAGTCACGGAATTGCGGAAACCACTGCTAGTTGTCAATTTGATGCAGTTAAGGCATGGCGTAATTATTCATGTCCTCGAGGCAAGTATTAACTATCAATGGTCACTTCATGGTGAAAGTCGCTTTCTGCATAAGAGTCTAATCACCCGTTCCCTCTTGCAGCTCTCTCGTAGCGTTTCATGTGCAGGGCCATGGAAAGAGATTTGAGTCGGCATTTCGGTCCCGGATACTCGCAGACTTGTCACAGTCTCCTTCAGAGAGGTACGATGAAGTTCCGGAGCTTACATAAAACTTATGGAGTTTGACAAGTTGCATAGATAATATGCTGGTATTCGTCGACCAGCCTGAGAGGATCGGTCTTTAGCGGCCACCCAAGCGGAAGCCCAACGCTCTACGCTTGTATGTCCAAAGCACGTATAATCAATCATGTGCAGATTCCAATTTTGGTTTTTCCTCATACACTTAAAGTTTTCATGCATACTTCAACGTGGCCCTGTAATTCGAGACACTTGAAATCACTCAGCATGAACCATGAACTATCAGTCCTTGACGCAAGGAGCAAGCCTTAGCCCATATGGTATCATTTTGATCATAACTCGTAAGACTACTGTTTCGGAAACAGGTATACTTTTACAGGTTTCTTCGGGACAGTAGAGCCCGTTCTTACGCTAACCAGTGGCCACTGGTCGTCCTCTTCAACGGTTTTCGTGTCACCGGTGTTCAGCTCCCTCAGTTGAATACTGCCCCTATCAGAGACGGGTATGTGCAGGCCGCCAAGGCCTCCGCCGTTCAATTTGTACGGGGCCAACGAGAGCCGCGGCGGATATGCTGCGCTCCTCTGAGAGAACGCTTGCGGTGACGGAGCCCGTTGCGGGGCCGGATTGTTCGCCCCCTCCCCGTTTCTATCTCGGAGCCTTCGCGGAAGGAGCGTGTCTACGATGTAGTCTAGGAATGTCTTTGTGGTGCCGAAAACCACAAAGGCCAACAGGCTCGCGGTAACGCCGGGGATGAAAAGCAGGAGGTCCTGGTGCAGTCGGGCGACGCTGAGATCCGGTGCTTCTCTCAGGAAGTCACGGGAATTCTGCCGTGAGGAAAGAATTTGGAACATGATGCTAAAAAACTGGTAGGTGCTTTGTACGTTCCGTCAGTTACGTATATCTTCATTGGCGTCAAGGCGAAGGGCTATCCTTACGCTAAGGCAACGAACGCAATAGTGAAGCGGACCACCAGCCAATTGTCGTAGATGCTCCGGCGGCGCTTCCAGTCCCTACCACCGAAGACGAGTGTGTTGCTGCTTTCCGATCTGTTCGACCGTTGCCCATATTGAACGTTCCAAGACATGAGGTTCCGGCGCGTATAGACGTATTTGATCAAGATGATGATGAGAAGAACGCCGCAGCCGCTCATGCAGAAGCCCACTGAATGCTTTCTTTAGATGAAGTCCGCCAGAAAGAGGTGACGAAACTTACTGAATAAATCTGCTAGTAGGAGGAAAGTTGCGGTCTGCTTCTGAACCGCCTCGAGTCTGAGAGTACCCACTAGCAACGCCGGCAGGAGGACGGCGGTGGCCTTCGCGATATAGGTGGCTCGTTTACGTAGCGAACTGGCTAGTTCGAGGTGGAAGATTGACTGAACGAGAGAGAAGGCCCAGAAGAAGATCAAGGCAGTTTCGACATTGTAGCAGTATAACTCTGTAAAGCGTCAGATAGGCTAAACCACATGAACGGGGAGGGCATCTTACGGATATAGAAAAAGGCCAAGTCAATACCAACTGACGCGCGAGATATGGCCAGCTCAGGGTTGCCGACGTTGGCGTTGGCATGCCGGAACTGATCGAACCTGATATCCCTCCACCGCAGAAGCGTGTGAATCTGCTGGGCTATAGAAGCCGCCGTCGACAGCCCTGTGAAGTACGAAACTAATGCGACATCTACACACAACGATATGAGTAAGCCTCTGAACAGCACTTAACCCGTCGTTGAGTCCACTTACAGCTGAATTCCTCATGATGAGCATAGACCAACCATGCCATAAGAAAACTGCATGATAGGCAGATCAGAGAGTAAACAATAACCCCTACAGATGTGGCCAGCTCCTCCTGAGGCAGCTGGATGGCCATATCAACCCCCTTGGATGTTGGGTTAGCAGGCGAGACATGAACATGGAGCTGATGAACGATAGCAGGGGGGCAATGTGACGGAAAGGAAGAAGAAGAAGAAAAAGCAAGAGTTGGAAGCGCGAGCAAATGCCATGGTCATGCTTATCATCTAAAGCTGCCCTGAGATCGATGCGAGCACCTGCGATCGGCGCATGGATAGCCAAGCCCCGGATACTACCTATTCGTGTGGTGGCAATGGCGCGATGAAACCTAGAGACTAACAAGACTTGGGAAGGAGATGCAAGCGATGCTTGTCTGGCGCTCGCAGGAAGCTGAATGGCGACCAAGCACGACGGCCTGACAACGAGATGGGACTTCCCGACATTCTAGAGCGGCAAGTGGTGTTCAGACCTTGGTAAGAGCCACAGCCCCCATACGCCTTGCAACCGGCGGCACAGAAATGTCTTGACCGGGAACCCTAGGAGGGGGTAGCGGGGCCACTCGGGATGTTCAAGGAGAGCTTTACTCCGTTATATGGTGGGTAACCAAGGTTGAAACGCGATAGTGTGAGAAGGTTTTCCCAGATGACATGACACCAAGACGCCGAGACGAAAGGCTACGAGAAGAGCCCAGCAGCGCACTGGGCAGTACAATATGTCATGGAGAGACAGATGACAGCGTGATGGCATTCTAGCTGGCTTCTTGGTGCGGTTCTGGTGACAACTGCCGAAACAGTAGCACGCAGGCGTCGTTGGAATTTGCTGCAGAAAGCCTGCCAATAGGGTGGCAAATGCTGAACTGAGTGGTGCTAGGTAGTGTGTTTGGCATAGCCGTGTGTGATTTCAACCGAACTGTTGCCGGGATAGCCTCCGGAGACGACCATCGTTACTTGTTATCCAGGAGTTGAGGCATGGATGGCTCGAAACACGCATGGCGAGTGGAGGCGCAGCTTCAACTTGGCTGAGGCGACTGGGCCGATGGCCCAGCGGATTGACGTGACGGCGTCCCTTTTTTTTATTGTTTTCGACAATCTGACGAGTCAGCGACACAGGGTCACATTATTTCGCAGACTCCCATTCTAAAGCAAATAAGCTTCCGGAGAGCATCATATGATGCCTGATTTACCGGGCGCCCTCCGGGGAACGGTGATCATCACACCTCATCTCATCGCAGCCGATTCCAATGGCAAGGGAACATGCCGTGTCCCGGTGCTCGGGGCTCTCTGAAGGACAGGGACAACCATGACGCGAAGTCGAACTAGTGGTTTTGCATTGGGCTTGGCTGCACTGAGTCAGCAGTGATACAGAAGGCCACTCAAACTGATGGTCCAACGGAGCCCGAGCGACGGACATGGCTTCAGGAGTTGGGCCTGATGCGGTGAAGTGAGTGATTCTAGCACCAATAAAGAAAAGATGTTTGCTCGCCGGGGGGGGGGGGGGGTCTCGTGATGTTGGGATGAAAGGGCAAAGGCGCGCGGTGCCAGTTTCTGCCAGATGGAACGTTGCTGAAGCTTCAGTCCAATGCATAGGTACATGAACTATAACTAAGAACCGGGCCATGCCAGCGTGTGTTTGTAGATTAGATGACAGCTGGGCGACCCCAGCCTGCATGAATGCGGAATGCGGACCTGTGAGCCGCATACTTTTGTCCAGAGGAGAAGTCAAGCTGGAGGTTACGAGTGTGATCGGCAGTCGCAACTTCGCGAGCAAAATGCCGTTCCGTCGGGATATAGCGCCTAGCTGCGGCACGAGCTTGCGAAAAATAAGGTCGTGTGGGATTCAGGCGATCTAAACTAAAGCAGACAGATTTTGACCCAGAGCCGTGGAGAAGTGAGTGGAATCGCAATGGAAAATCTCCGGTGGTGGGCCGCCAGCTCCTTCCAGCCACTTTGTGGCTCATGTGGGAAGACGGCGACGGCAGCGGTAGGGAGGAGCCACCTGTGGCTGCGTTCCTATGGGTGCTCGATCATGGTCAATTAAGCATGCACCAGCGGGACGCGTCAAAGGCGCGTCGAAAGCTTCCCCGCGATATAACTTGTTCGACAAACACCCCGACAACTTAGCAGTGCTACAAAAGAACGATTCCGATAGCCCTAGACGGTTTCTTGCATATTGTACCTCTTATTCAATCCCTTCCAGACTGCATACGAACCCTTTATCCGGGTCGATGCTCCGCACTACACCGCCAACATGAACATTGTTCCACCGCACTATAATGATGGCAACAGAGCCTTCCTGCAAGCCTTCTTGGCTCGCGGGACCCTCACATTCGAGGAGGCGCAGACCATTCTTGCAGAGATATTCACAATCGAAGCCGAAGATGGCGAACCGGTCACCACCGAACAGGTCACTCAGCAGGATTTCGAATCTTTCCTGCAAGCAGCCGCTGAAGCCGTTTCTTTCTTCGACTACGAGATCCGAAGCGCTGCCCACCAAGTCTCCAAGAAGCGTGTCTATGCTCTCGTCAACACGGCTTCGGACCCGATGACCCAGCTCGCGACCACATATAATGCCGAACAGATCGCCTTCATCAAGAGACTACTCGATGCCATGTTCGAGACGTACAACTCCCCGCGCATGGAGCTCATGTGCATCACAGAGATGCAGGCGATTAAGCTGGCCCGTCCCTCGCGTCAGCAGAACAACAACCGCAACGATGTCGACGAGGATGGAGCACCGACGCAGACGCAGTCCTCCGCGGACAAGGGGCTGAAGCACAGTGAGGTGGAAGACATGCTGATGAACCTGGTAAACCAGGGCTGGTTGGAAAAGTCTAGGAACGGGTTTTATAGTCTCAGCCCCCGAGCGCTGCTCGAGCTCAGAGCGTGGCTCATCGACTCGTACAACGACCCCGACGCGGCCGCGCAGGAGTGGCAACGCATCAAGTTCTGCGAGGCGTGCAAGGGGATCGTCACCGTTGGCCAAAGATGCGGGGAGGTAGATTGCAACGCACGCCTGCACCACATTTGCGCCGACGCATACTGGCGAACGCAACGCAGCCATAAGTGCCCTAGATGCTCAAGAGACTGGGACGGTGAACATTACGTCGGGGAGGAAGCGCAGACCAGTACGGAGGCCTACAAGAGGGGCCGCCGTAGAAGCGGGGGCAGGAAAAGCAACGTGGCTGACGAAGATGTGCACGAGAACGGTGAAGAAGAAGTCGAGGATGGGGCATGATGAAACATAAAGGTTTGGGACTCCATAGCTCAACCAACCAACCAACCAACCCCTAGATGTTGCGGGCAGTTTTCAGGAAAGATACCCCCCGTACTGGTGGCTGAAGCAGAAGCTAGCCACTCGACCGTCTCAGACACCGAAGCTGTCGAACAAAACAAAACATCTTTTTAATAATAAAAAACAGTCCTATTCTGGATGAACACCATATTTCTCCCACATTACTAGTAGTATACATACATACATACGTTGCCTCACTGGGTCCTAGCGTCCCAACAAGAGAGGCGACGTTTTGGACCCTGGAGGGGCCTCCGATGTGGCGGTGCGCCTTAGCGGGCCTGGGCCCAAGTGCCGGTGCTCGCTTGGGCGCGGTTACCGGAGGGCTCCAATGACAGGACCATGCATGATCATCTGAAAGCATTGAAGTGACATCACGCGTGGCTGTGCAAGCTACTCCAACTTGCTCTCTAGTTCAACCCATCCTGTGGCCAACACCTAAAACTCGCAGGTCATGACGCCGCACGAGGTAACCAGGGCCCAGACTGCATGTGATTCAGAAGCACTTGGCTGGTCGATAAAATAACTGGCTCCGACCGCCTGTATTTCGACGGCAACTCTTCATCTACCGGCACGCATAAATACAAATCACACATTCGCCTTTCAGCCTCGGTTTCTTTGACAACAGCCCGATCGCAATTCCCAAGTCATCGCCCAGCCAGCAAACCTAGCTCTCGGCCTTGGACCCTTCTGACGCAAGACAACCGCTTCGCCCACGATGCTGGAATACCTGAGCTACAAGAAGTTCAAGAAATACAAGACAGAAAAGGAGGCAAAGCAGGCGGCGGAAGGGGAGCAGCAATCGCAGGAGCAAAATGGATCATCCTCGGCGCATCTCAGACCCGACTCGCGGCCTTCGCCGTCGCGGCGCCAGACCAGCTCTCAATCCGTCCTAACAACGGCGAGCGGAGCCACCGAAGGCGGTCCCACACCGCTTTTAGATCGCAAGGACGAGGCCTTCTTCAGGCGCATTCTCTCTGACCCGGACGAGGTTGACTCGGACGACGAGAGCGTTCGTCCGGCGCTGCCCCCGCGCAGCAAGACCCCGGAGTACACGTGGGACTCTGACGAATCCCGCCGCGCGGCCCCGCACCGGGGCCAGCAGCAGACCCCCGTCAAGGCGGCGACGGTCGCCGTCGCCGAGAAGCCTGAGGGCTCAGGGCCCTCCAGGATCCCCGGCAAGATCGCCTTCCTGTTCAACAAGGCCAAGGGCGGCGACAAGGACAAGCAGCTCGAGCCGATCAAGCCCGTGAAGCCTGAGGAGGCGGCGCGCGAGCAGGACGACCTGTCGCGCGTACTCGACGACCTGAACCTCTCGGCGCGCAACAACAAGGCCATCCCCCTATCGGCCGAGTCATCTGAGCTCGTCGGCAAGTTCACCCTCGTCCTCAAGGACCTCGTCAACGGCGTGCCCACGGCCGTCGACGACCTCCGCAACCTCGTCGAAGACCGCGACGGCACCCTCAAGAAGTCGTTCGACAAGCTCCCCAGCAGCATGCAGAAGCTCGTCACCAGCCTCCCCGACAAGTTCACCGCCAGCCTGGGGCCCGAGGTCCTCGCCGCCGCCGCCAAGAGCCAGGGCATCAACGCCGCCGAGGTGTCGGCCAGCGAGGGCATCAAGGGCGCCGCCAAGAAGATGTTCACCCCCACCAGCTTCGCCGACTTGGTCTCCAAGCCCGGCGCCGTCGTCGGCATGCTCAAGGCCATTGTCAACGCCCTCAAGCTGCGGTGGCCGGCCTTCATCGGCACCAACGTCATCTGGAGCGTGGCTCTCTTCCGTAAGTCTCAGTTCCCCCCTTACTCCCTCGTTGTAAAAGATGCTAACACCCACCGGCAGTGCTCCTATTTGTGCTCTGGTACTGCCACAAGCGCGGTCGTGAAGAGCGTATCAAGCGCGAGAACGTGCCCGAGGTCGTCGATGGCAGCGGCCGCATCGAGGAGCTCCCCGACGACCCCGCCCTCCCGGCGCCCCCGCGCTCGCGCACCGAGCCGGCCCGCGCGGACCAGGACCGCCCGAGGAGCCAGAGAAGCGAGCGCAGTCGGCGCAGCGGCAGGCACAGCTCGGGGAGGACGACGCCCCAACGCCGGGCCTCGCCGCCTCCTGACTCTCCCCGGAGAAGGGCGACGAGGAAGTGACGCGGGAAGGGTTTTGGTTTGCCTTACAACGCGTGCCCCCCGTGGGCTCGCACGTCTTCTTTTTCTTCTCTTTAATGACTGGACTGTCACATCCTGGATGTTTTCTAGCGTTTTGCCACGAATGAATGCAACGATGTATGAACGAACGAGCTAGACACACGAGGCGACTGCCTGGTAAGACGGGGTTTTGCAATGATTTCATGTCCTCATTTGATGCCTGTCTACCTAGCCTCGGCTTTCCTGTATGCGAGCGATTTCTCGAAAAGGAGGAAAAAAATATCAGAGCCCTCCCCACCCCCTATATTGGTGGCATTCTCCGATGCCTTTTACACAATAGTCTAATATACAGCCGTGGATCCGCAATGCAAAGAACTTGTAGTGAAAAAAAGAAAAGAAAAAGAAAGAAAAAAAAATTCGGGTATCTCCGAAGCAAAGTACGCTTTTGTGTCGCTCTACCGTCCAACGTGCCAAGACCCCCTTCAATCATCCTGGACCAACTCCTTGATCTCGTCACGCCCGCCAGCTGCGAGACTGCCTGTCTGGCCGGCCTTCTCGCCTTGGCCGAAGCGGTCAATGACCTTGCAGCCGTCCTGGATCCAGAAGTCGACCTCGTCAATGATGTCGTAGACAATGTCCTCCACGATCTGCTCCGTGTAGCGTTCGGAAACAGGGCGGACCTTATCCAGACCGGGGTATCCCAACGCCAACGGCGCCTTGTGCTCGGCCTGGTCGACGTCGACCATGGAGACCTCGTTCTCGGCGTCCTCGACGATGCCGGGAGGTGGGAACCAAAAGTCTGGACCGAAGTTGACCTCTGCGGCGCCGCCTCTGAAAACGCTCACGGCGGGGTAATAACCGAGCATGCCGTTATCGAGGCCCTCGCGGGCGCCGATCTGCGCCTGCGGCTTGGAGGCGGGGGGCAGGAAGGCGAGGAGATCGGTAAATGCGGTTCCCATAGGAACGCCGTTCTTGTACAATTTGATATAGGATCCGGGAAGAGTGCGAAGGGCAGGAACAGGATGATTGGGGTTCGGCGCCTCGACCGAGTTGGCGGGGCCGGAGGAGACAGGAGAGGGGTTCATGAGATCCTCGAGCTCCTTGGTGGTATGGTAGTCGATCTTTTCAAAGTAGATGTGCTGCTTGAAGCGAATGGGGATACGATCGCGGACAATATTGGGCGCATCAAACGCCGCGCTGTCGTCGTCCAGACCAGTGTCCACCGCCGGGTTATACTGACCAGCCAAGACCTTCCGTTGCAGACGTTCCGACGGGAGCTGGATCTCCAAACCGATGACGTCGCCTTCGCGGATGCCTTCTCCCTCTGGGAAAAAGGGTTTCGGGCGCGACATGTAGACCTTCTCGCCGCCAACATCGCGGAATCCGTAGCTGTAGGCGTCGAAGCCAACGGGCGCGTCAAGCGACGCCTCTCTTCTCGCGAAACCCATGCGCACGTGGCCATGCGATTCGGGCTGTCCCTCTGCATTCTTCTTGTCCACAATGCCCCTCGTGATCTTGACCTCCCAGTAGAAACGTCCCTCCCGGATCGCCACATTGGCGCGCGTCATGCGAAAGCCCTTGTTGGTTGTGATGTGACGACCCGTCTGGTCGAAGAACAGATGGGTTGCGCTATCCTCAAAGCTCAGGTGAGGGCCGTGGGGCTCTGCCTCGGTGCCGCGGTAATAGAGCGATGAGGGAAATCCGGGGTCAGCGATACAGTGTGTGTAGTGGTAGCTCTTCTTGTTGTGAACGCTTGATATGGGAGGTCAGTACCGTCGATCTGTTGCGTAGAGGCACTGGCAAACTTACTGCTCCGAAGTCTCGTAGAACTGGATCTTGCCGCCGTCCCGAGCAGGAACATCATGGTGGTGTATGAAAACAGGAGGACGTGCGGGCTCAAAGTCGGAAGGCTTGGGGGGCGCCAGCTTGTAGCGCATCGGACTGTAGTCGCTCTGAGTAGGTTCGCGATGCTTGGGGTCCGGCGTGCCACGGTTGCTGTCGCCGCCGAAGGCGCCCTTGGACTCGCGCTTCTTCAGCGACTCCTTCTTGTTGCGCTTGGCAGGCATATCGTCGGAGCCTTGAGGTTTTGGTGTAGATCGAACTTCTGGATTGAGGGGGGAGGGTACGGAAGGACTGAAATCCTCTTCAAGCGCAGGCCGCTTCAACGGGATCGCAGTCGAAGCAGCAAGGGAGCCGCTCGGGGTCGGCTCCCGAGGTGGGGGAGGAGTGCCCGAATCGGAGGTCATCTGGTCGGAGTTTCTCAGTGTACGCGCAATTCCTTTGACTGCTGTTGTGTGAGCAGCGGGTGCAGGTTGAGGGTGGAAGGAGAACAAGGTCGCGGGTTCTTGTCGTGAGGCGCGCGTTTCAAGGTGGAAATTTCGGGAGCTGCTCCAGAGAAGCTAGCAGCTACCAGGCACCCCGCGTCAAGCTCCCTCACACAGGGGACACACAAGGGGCCTCGGCGGGAAAACAGCAGGGGTATATGTGCACTATACGCTAGTGGGGCAGGCACTGCAAGGCTGCCTTTGACAAATGGAGCTCGCTCATGGGAAACCTTATCGCATTCTCAAACTGATTCATATGTAAACTCATTAGCTGGCTGACTGGCTTTCACATCCAGCTTCTTCGTCTCGCACCGCATGGTCTTCTCAGATACCTGGTATCACCCTTTAAGAACAGATGCAACATTTGAAATGAGACTTGTCTTTCGCTCTATCGGCTCTATTGGGCATTGCGTCCATCTACCATGTCAGTCAAACGCCAGTCCCCATGTTTATCCTTACAAATTGTACAGATGGGCTTCCTTTTTACAAAAGTTTCTCCATCCCATGCCTGATAACCCCAGCCCTACCTCTACCTGCCCTGAGAGCAGCCTTAAATGGCATGCTCCTGCTGCTTCTCCACAGGAGGGTTCCAAATCTCTAACTGCTTAAGAATACGTTGGTACAAGAACAGCATCGTGCCGCTCTGAATGAAGGTCCATACACCACGGGGCCCCACGCCCCTGAACCAGCCGCTAAGGCCCTCTGTCTGGTATATGACCTTGAGACCCTGGATGACAGACGAGGTCTGCAGGTTCACGGCGCCGGGGCGAGGAGTATGCGTTGACGGCGATGACGTTGATATGTTGCGCGTCTGGGATTTTGATGTCGAGGCGTGCGCAGCGCTCTTAACCGCCGGTTTGCTCTCTTTCGGTAATAGGTCAGGATGTACTTGAGTCTGCAGCCTTGTCTTGACGACGTCCAGGGGACATGTCATGACGCCAGCCAAGCTTCCAGCGAGCCCGCCGGTCAAGAGCTCCAGCGGTATGCCAACGTCTCTGCTCTGCTTGTATGTGCGAGCCCAGGCGTGGAACTGTTCCCAGAACATGAACTGGAGTGCTGAAAAAGGCAGGTCACGATAGAGCGTCGCTTGGTAGCCGTGGAAAAGCGCCGAGAGTCCCTCTTGGCGCACAATGGTCCGCGCCGCATCAACGGTGCCTCTGTAGTTGTATCCCGACTTGAAGTAAGGGTTGTTATAACGTCCCTGTAGTTGCATGCGTGTCTTCAGCACCTCAGACGGGACATAAACGATGGAGCCGGCCAAATCTCCGAGGAGCCCTAGGGATGTTCAGTTAGCCTGTGCTTTTCAATTCTGAGCTCGGATTCGACGAACCGGCTGCGAGGTAGGCCAGGTGGTGTTGTAGGCCGTGGTCGATAAGAAACCGCTTGCTCCATTCGTATGTGCCGAAGAACATCATGGTGCCTGGAAGCGAACCGCTCAGTGCCGGCACCCATCCGCCATAGAGTCCTCGTCTGATGCCCTCTTGCCTCCATATCGTATAGTACGATGAACCGAGGGATGTGTACTTTGGCGGGATATGCGGGTCGCCCTGTTGGCGTGTCTTGACCGTGTCCAGGGAGTGCATGAGCATGTCTCCCGTCGACCCGCCTAGACCTCCAGCAATCATTGCATGGAGATAAGGCGGGCGGCCTTCATCTTCGAAAGACTCATCCTCCTGTGGGCTCATGTCCTGTCTGAATGGCTGTGTGTTGATTCTGATATCCGGCAAAATCCCTCCCGTCTGTCCCGCATATCTATCCTCCTCCAAGGACACCGCCGGCGCCGGGCTCGAGACCGAGAATCCCTCCTTGATCGTTTGCGCGTTGTTGTCGGCAGGGGCAAAGTAGCTGAAGATACGGTCAGCGACAGACATTTGCGAATGCTGTCTGTCGCAATTGGACCAGGTTCTCGTTGGTCCGCGTCTAGGCCGACTCCCTCTCGTGCAGCGAGTGCTGGTATCGGCGCGTTTGTCAGTGTCGTGGCGGGGGAATCTTCGAGCAAGGCAGTCGGTCGCCCGCAAGGGGATGGCGACACCGTGTTGGGATTTGAAGGGGGGGGGGAGAGGAGAGGCCTCCTCGTCGTTGATTGTCGCGTGGGCTTACTGCGCGGGCAAAAACTTGGCGGCGGCGAGGAGCAGCACATAATCATATCGAAATTTCATGCAGGGTTCCCGGGCTCTGGAATTTTTGCTGGTGTGCACAGACCACCTGCCGCGCATCGGTCCGGCTGCGTCACTGTGAGCTTTCCGTCCTTTCCGCTGGAGGTACCTTAACATTGGAGCTCCATGGGCGGCCGGCTGAGAGACCCTGAGTGGGAGCTTCGAGCTATGACACGGATAGTCCGCGCCGCTCTGTGCAAGCAATGGACCCTGAGACCCGGACGGGCTAGAACCACATTTGTTGATGGTGTCAGGGGAATCTTGATTTTATATACGATAGTATACATGGTGAGATTTCGGACAAGCTCAAATTCTAGACCAATGACCCGACAGAAAGATAGGTCGCCTGCTTCTTAGTACTGTACAAGAGAACCCACCCGTCTTGCACTCAGTATCTCGGCTTGAACTTGTGATCCTCCCACCTCACGCGTCCAAACTTGCGCCAGGGCCAGATATTCCACACGCATTGCCCGTCGACCAGCGCCATTGATATCGGCCCGTATGTGTTGCTGTCCAAAGTCTGATCTTGCGGTCCGTCGCCCTCGACCCAGATGTGCCCTTGTGGTACCCTGGCTATGCGTTCCGGGTACGGCGCCCTCGTCGTGACATATTCTCCCTCCAGTGCAATAACTCGCTTGATTGCAACAGTCTCCGGATTATATGGGCTCCTATAGTAGGGAAGGGGCGGAGGAAGTCAGCTCACCCAGCATCTTTGATTTCCGACAGC